TACCAATGTGGATGTTCTGGGTAGGGTTGCCAGATGGTTTAACCAAAAATATCGAACGCACCCTCTACCCCCTCAAAAAAAAAAACCAAACTAGGGAAAAAATTTTGTTGAGAAAAAAAAGGGGGAGACCAAAGTTGTTGAGCAAAGAAAAGAAAAAGGACCCCGAGAGTTGTTAAGTAAAAAAAAAAAAATATGGCCCCTTTAAGAAACTCTTGTGAGGCTTTTTGGCCGCCCGCCATCTTGCCTTCCTGCGCCGGGCCAGACAGATCCCCTGCAGAACCCGGTAAGCACCCGGGATTTTCACCTCCTGGCGAGGAAAAAATCAGAAAATACCAAACATGTTAGCTGTCTGGTGTTTTCTGAAAATTTTTACCGGACAGGAGGCAAAAATACCGGACTGTCTGGTTCAATACCGGACACCTGGCAACCCTAGTTCTGGGTACACACCAGCTCTCGAGCGAACAGGGTCACATGGGCTGGAGCCTGAGTACCAGCCCCGTATTGCTATTTTGAGTCTGTTTATCTGAGCTGGGATACTTGCTTCCAGCTGCAGTATTAGGCATACCCTTAAGGCAGCAGTGGGCAACCTGTGGCCAATCAGGGTTCTGTGTGTGGCCTACGAGACATTTTGTTTACTGTTGCCCATGTTCAGGGTTGCCAGATTCTGCTGGTTGCAGACTGTGTAGGGTTTTTTTTCTACTGGTATTACTAAAGTGATGCACACGTAAGGCGTGGACACGCGAAGTGAGGTGCATGCTGATTGCTCACAGTGTGAGAGCCGTGTGCTCCCTCTGCATCCAGTCAAAGCGCTGCTGCGGTTCAGTCGGCACAGCCTGCAAATTCTAGATACACAAGCGCAGTTAGCAAACCTGTCCTGTCCCAGGAGATCGTCTTCGTTAGGACAATCTTGCAGCCCTTTGAGATGGAGGGCCACTCATGCAGCCCACTCAGTAGCCTACGTTGCCCATTGCTGCCTTAAGGCCTCACTGACGCTACATCTAGACTGCGATCTTTTCTGGAAGAGGAAATGCAAATGAAGCGCTCATTAGTATTTCTTGTGCTCTCATTTGCATATTCTCTTTTGATCCTTTTTGCAGAAGAGTTTTTTGCACAAAAACCCCCTTTTGCGCAAGAACCTGTAAACCTCATTTTTTGAGGAAGGGCTCTTGTGCAAAAGGGGGTTTTTGCGCAAAAAAGCCCCGTGTACATGGGGCTTTTTTGAGCAAAAACCTCTTCCACAAAAAGGATTGGAAGATATGCAAATGAGAGCGCGACAAATGCTAATGAGCGCTTCATTTGTATTTCCTCTTCCCGGGAAAGATTGCAGTCTAGACATAGCAAGTGAGTACAAAGAAGGATATGACAGTGGAGTTCTTAGTGCAGGATTAGGGCCTAATAGGAGGCCTGCTTGTATTTTGGTGAACAATAGTGTATGTTGGCTTGATGTGTATTTTTCTTTCTTGCAATATCAGTATCCTTTAATTAGTATTAAATTAAACCTCATCTTGGACCTGAAGCAATGTCTCCCATCCCTCATCAGAACAGAAAGCATTTTCAGTGTTTTGTTAAACAGTTTCAGAGCAAGCTGGTTCTGTTAATTGCTTTAGGCTTTACACAAAAGGATTGAGGCTAGTGAATTTTTCTCTTCCTTTCTTTCTTGAATAATTTTTAATGTATAAGAGTCATCCTCTATTATGAAAATGAGGACAGATTCAGGCACTATCTGGAGTAGTCAACTTTAAGACAGTGATTGGATTTGTATGGCAAACAGACCTCAATATAGTCCAGCTTCAGTGATAAACTTAATTATAAACTCCATGTAAGTGTGTTAAGAGCTCTGTGAAATGTTGGGTTGCCATTCATACGTTTCCCTGAAAGAGGCTTAGAAAGCTTTGATGGACAGAGGAAAAACCAGCAAATAGAAAGGAAAGGTTGAGGCAGAGGTGGGCAATAATTTTGACCACCCAGGCCGCCCCAGAAAGGGCAGGGCCTAATCCAGAAGGGTTGGGGCCAGAATGCTTCTGGGCTTCCTCACCCCCAGACCATAATTGGTCTGGGGGAAGGGGAGCCCCTTTGCCTCCCTCCTTCCACTAGGCATCCATGCCCCTGGCAGAGAGGCAAAAGGCTTCACACTCTCCCGCACCCCCAGGCCTTTATTGGTCTGGGGGCAGAGGAACTGTGCAAAGCTTTGCTCTCCTGCCCCCGCCCTGCGCGAGCGTACAGCACTTTGAAGTGCCATGCACTCCTCGCAAGGCAGGGAGGGGGAGTGCAGAGGAAACTTCACATGCTCCTACTGCCTCCAGGCCTACCTGGCCTGGGGGCAGAGGAGCGGCAAGGCCTTCACAGGCCAGATCAACCCACTCAGTGGGCCGGATCTGGCCCGCGGAGGCCTTTTTGCCCACCCCTGGGTTGAGGCTTCGTCCACAACTAACAGCTTAATAGATTTCTGAACTAGAGTTCCCTATATGATTCCCTGAACCAAAACCATCCACTGCGTGAATCCTTTAAATCTTTCAGAATTCCCCGTGGCCTTGATTCCGTACAGTTAGTGAACTGGCTTGGACTCTGTAGACATGGGTTGTGTGTATTCCTGCCTCTGGCATAAATCTGCTGTGGGACAGAGGGCAAGTCACTTCCTTTCTCTGTAGTTCTGTGTCACTTCCACCTTCTGTCTGGCTTGTCTGATGAAATAGTCTGGACACCAAAGGCTTTACAACTTCCTGTGAGGAGAGGGGGTGTACAGTGCCTAGCACAGCGGAGCTGAGATCTTGCTTGAGCTTCTACAAAACAAATGCTAAGTAATAAATTAATGGGTCTTTAGCGTGTAAAACTAAAGCATTTAATGCTTTGATTAATTGTGGCCTATAGCTAAGAATTTGAGCTAAAAAATACAGTAGTGGCTTTGTCAGTGGCAATATTAGCAAGACCTGACAATGGTTTTTAAATTGCCTGTTAATGCAGTGGGGTGGCAGGTGGGTGGGTAGGTGGGAGGATGACAGCAAGTTTCAGAATGCAGCAGCTTATGGGTGAAATAATTGCATACTGAATCAGTCTTTTCTGTTTCAACTTCTTAATTGTTACTGCTCTTTTCTACCTTCTTTGGGCCACATTCTGCCATGATACACTTCAGTGATGTATGTCTAAGAACAGAATTTGGTGTGAGGACTGGTATTTCACAGGAGGTGATCAGTAGCTTAGTATTGTCTGGGATAGAGTCATCCAATGCAAACTCACAGAAACCAATTTTTTTTTATGTTTTTGTTTTCATTTCTTGGTTTTGGCCCATCCATTGTTAGTGTGCAACTGCTGCGAGACATTGTGAAAAAGGAAGTTGCACCACTTCAGAAAACTGAAGTGAATTAAAGGTAACAGCTTGTGCAATGTTTGGATCCCTTTTTGTATGTTTGCTTTTCTCCTGCTGCTCACATTACTTCCAATGAAAGGTCAGAAACCAGTAAGTTCAGTGTACTAAGCATGTTTCTTCTGATTTGTGAGACAAGGTGGGTTGAGTCATACTGTCTATTGGACCAGCTTCTGTTGGTGAGGGAGACAAGCTTTCAAGCTACATGACTCTTCCTTAGGTCTGGAACTCCCAGGTCACCGCAGTATGCAAGGGAGAATAGACTGTAGCATAAGTAGGTAGCACATCTTGTAAGGGACCGTTCAAGATAGAGTGGCCCATTGACACACTGCAGTCAACGCCATCCTTAGGCATATGTAGACTATGCAGTTGCATTGGGCACTACTAAATTTGAGGCACCAGGTGCCCCAAATGTAGTAGTACCCTAGGCAGCTGTTTGCTGTGTATGCCTGGGGTCACCATCATAGCAAGGCATAGGCAGCACTGGCCAACCTCATCCCCTGTCCCCTCCCCTTGCAGGCTGTGCCCAGATGCCACTCACCTGTTCCACTTCACTGGGGCCTGGATCAGAGTCATGTCTCTGGGAGCAGGGGGACCTGGACAGGGTGGCAGAGCCTCGGGTAGCAGCCAGGACCATGGCGGCTAGGAACCCACATATAATGCGATGATGGTACAGCACCCCAGAATTCCTATACTTATGCCTCCCTGCCATGTCCCCCCACTGCAATGACTGCTGCCCCCACCAAGCAGACTGCCCCCAATCTTCACGCAGGGAACCATAAATGGTAAAGATGGACCCTTCTGCAATCATAGGACAAAAAGTGGGGGTTAGAGGGTTACAGATTGCAGTAATAAACCATAAATCTGTGGTTTGGTATCATGCTGACCATTTTTTAAAATGATACAAAACAGTGTTAGGTCTCTTTCACAATGGAATGTTTTTGTTTCATCTTCTTCTCAGGTTAACTATAGAAATGAATGTGTAACACACTACGTGAGGTTGTCATTCAAGGCTTGATCCTGGAAAGCCTTGCTCACACAAAGAGTCCAATTGACTTTAGTGGAGCTACTAATGTCTCCCCAGCCTTCAAATATGCACTGCAGTGGGACTTTCTCACACAATCGTTGAGCATGTGAGTAGGACTAGAGCCACAGTAGCCAATTAATTTTACCAGGTAATCCCGATCAGCACTGGGAATCTGATACTCACCTCTACACATTTCTTTGGCTTCCACTATGGCAATTTTTTCCCTTGAAGAACTGAATTGTTTTCAGATGAGTGACTAATGGCTCCATTGAGAGAGAGTCAAGAAGAGTAAATCGATATCTGTCCATCCAGCCTTCCCCCCTCACTCTAGGAGAGCTGTTCCAAGACTTGCCCCTTCTGACCTGCCACCACCTGTTCATCAGATGTTTTTCGGTTTCCACAATGTGTGGACACAATCCACAGTCACAGGGAGTGCTTCTGAGTACCAGGGTGTTCTGTGATTCTGCTTCTGAGTATCAGGGTGTTCTGTGATTTGTTTGGGAACAAAACTAAATTCAGAAACCAGAGTTAAAAAAATGGACAAACATTCTGAAAAGGCAATTGCTTTCAGTGGAAGGAGACAAGTATTTACTGTTTTTGGACAATTACAATGTGGCCTTATTTGGCTGGCTAAGCCCTGTAACATGTTGTGAGGGTGTCAGTAGCCACCCAATAGTTGCTCCGTTGCACTCCGCCCTGTGGGAGAGAGATCTTTCACCAGTGCTTCAGAGCAAAGGCAGTTTCAGTTCTTGCTGCTCTCGGAAGTACTGCCTCTGAGATCCCGGCCTTTTCATGTTATTTTTAAAGCGAGGTGTAGAGTCTCTGGAAGCCCAAGCAGCTACACAGTGGAACATTTTTTATTTAAAATATTTTCCTGTCCAGTGAGAGGCGCAGATGGACATTTAGCAGGACAAGTGACCAGGGAGTTTTTGAAAGTTTCGTCCAAACAGTGTAAAAAAAAAGTTCCTTTCCTAAGCATGGTAGACTGCAAAACCTGTCTAAAATGCAGTCTCTGTGGAGAGCGTGTCTTGTGGGTAGTCGGTGCTGTTTGTTCAGCCCCTGCCCTCTGACCCTGAATGATGACCCATTAACACATCAGTGCGCCAAGGTCAGGGAGGCTTGAATGAATGAGGCGCTTGGTTTGGTAACTTGTCCCGGCAGCTTTGCGAGGCTGAAACAAACACGCCCCACACGAGCCTGTTCCAAGTCTCTTTCCCAGGGTGGGAGGCGCCCACCCACAGACCTGGGCTCAGTCTCATTCAGAGAACGAGTTGCCCCATCTGGGATTAATTTGCTGCAGCTCAGTCGCTCCCCGTGGAGAGCGCGGGGAGGGGGAAGGGTTGCCTAGTGTTAAATCCCCCTTGATCCTCGCTAGAAAGCTCCCCACGGACCCGTCCTGCCCTGTCCGCGGCTCCGAACCGTCGCCTTGCGTTGCGGTAGTAAATTACCTTCCCCCTGGCCCCTCCTTTTCAGAATCTTCATACACCCCAGCTCTGTGATGTCACAGCATCGATACCGAGCGGATACAATGAAACCTCGTGTCTCGTAGCAACCGCCCGTGGGGGCGTGGCTTTCGCAAGGCCAACTGTTGCCTAAGGTGGAGAGCGCGGAGAAGCGCGACTCGCGATTTGCCCGGGCTGTTGCCGAGCGAGGAGCGGGGGCCCGGCTCTCCAGGCAAGCGCCTCGCTCGGGGTGGGAGTCCCGCCTTGCCGGCAGGTAAGCCGGGGAGGAAAGCAGGAGGCTCCGGGAGCAAACAAGGAAGGGAGCGGAGAGAGGTCGTTGCAAGGCGGAAGTTTGGAGAGTAGCAAGCAGAGGGATTTGACCCTGCGTGTGCCCGGAGTCGGGCAGAGAGGCGTTTGGTAAGGCTGCCCCAGCAAAGCTGCTCGCTCGGGGTGGGAGTCCCGCCTTGCCGGCAGGTAAGCCGGGGAGGAAAGCAGGAGGCTCCGGGAGCAAACAAGGAAGGGAGCGGAGAGAGGTCGTTGCAAGGCGGAAGTTTGGAGAGTAGCAAGCAGAGGGATTTGACCCTGCGTGTGCCCGGAGTCGGGCAGAGAGGCGTTTGGTAAGGCTGCCCCAGCAAAGCTGCATTGTTCCTCCGGCTGCTCCGGGTGGAGGAGGAGAACTGGCTTGGGCTGGTTCTGCAAAGCGTTGAGAGAGCAGGAGCTTCGCTTCTATTCACCTGCCTCTTCTTGTTTCCTTCTGTCCCCTTCCCTGTTGCCTGGGCTGGCCGTGTTCCCCCCTAAGGCTTGGGGGCGAGTTTGCTCCCCTTCTTCCTGAGGCGGTGGGGGAGAGGGGAATGCAGTGTAGTTACCTGCTCTTCCTAGTCAGTGCTAGGCGTCTGGGGCTTGTCAGGGGAAATCGAGCCGGGATTTATCAGGGCTGGTCAGTTAGCTGTGGTGTGGCTCGTTTGATAAATACACCCACGAGCATGGGGCAGCCTGGAAGCAGATTATGTAATTTCTACAGATTTGGTATGGTGGGTCTACACAGGAGCCCTTGTGCCTGCTATTTTTGCAGAGGGGAAGCATCTCTGTTCCATGACACTCAAATTGCTCTGGTGGGTTTGTATCCTGTCTTCTGAAGTGTTAAAAATCAAGGCAATAACATTGAAAAATCTAAGTTGCAGCAACGCAAAGCCACTGCTGGAAACACACACACACACACACACACACACACACACACACACACACACACACACACACACAGTAATAGAGGGTGACCTTCACAAATACAAATGTGTCAATAGGCTGCAGCAGCAGCATTCCAAGAATATGTTACAGTGGGAAAGTCATAAAGCAGAAGGAGGTTCTGTCAGTATTAAAAAATGATAAACTGTGGGCTGCAGGGAAGACATGTGCCAGGGTTCCTCATTGCTAGAGAGTCAATCTGAGCACAATGCCCCAAAACATAATCTAAATCTTGGTCAAAATGACTATCTGTTGCTGTGTCTGAGGTTGAAAGCTTAAAAAAAAATTCCATGTGTACCTCTCTAGAATGAATCACAATCACAGAATTGTGTTGGAACTGTAGCCTGAATTTCAGGGAAGTAGCATAGGCATCTCCTGTTATATCAGCAAACTAGTGGGATTTCCATAACTTCTTTTAATGACTTTTTTCAATAGCAAAGCTGTGGGCTGGTGAGGTAGAGATTGTTTTCACTGCATAGAAGTAGTATTTGTAATTACACCTACAGAGAGGTCTACAGTACACCCACTTTACAGCTGGGTGTGTGTGAATATGATTAAAATACAACTGAAAATTGAAGGGTAAAGACATACCCTATGTGGATGGGACTAGAATTTGCAAAAAGCTTGATTTTTTTTTTAGCATGTGTTTTACACAAATGCAGCATTATAGTGTGGTTTATAGACAGGCCAAGCATTAGTATGTCTTAAACTAGTCTAATTAGTCACTCAAAATTAATTATATAATCTTGCTCTTTTAAAAAAACAGGTGGCGAATGGGGAGCAAGGGAGAATAGTAGGGCATAATCTTAGCTTCTACTGTATTGACTTCAGAGTTTAGATGGAACTTTTTGATCTTCCTGAATGTGAGGTAAACTAGGCTTTGTCTACTTGCGGAGAAAATGAATCCAAACAAACTAAAGGCGTGCATTTTAAAGCAGTTTAGTTCAACTGGATAAAATGCTTGTATGGATGCAGTCTTCCAACATAGTTTAATCCACTTTAACAGGTCATTCACATTAACTTGCCTGAGGGTCTGTGTGTAGATAAACCCTAGTTATGGCCCCTCCCAAAAATTCATCTTTAATGCTTGCCCTGCCCTTACCAACATAGGCTGCCCACCGATTTGTTTCCCAAGACAACAGTTTGTCTTTGTGCTATGGAAATTGCACAAATGCTTTGGGTTTGAAACTGTTCATCTTTCCCAGGTTCTCTTCCTCTCTAGTGAGTGCAGTGTGACAGAACCGTCCAGACTGAAAGATGCAAGCATGGCCCCTTGGTTTGCATATATCAGTGTTTCCTGAGTGGCCACACAAGTGGCCAACTTACAGGGGAGATTCAAATGCTGCCCAGCTAATTAGCAGAACACCCACAGCTAAGTTTTGTGTGACTACTGGTGGTGCACAGTTGCACATGCCTTCGTGCACATAAACTTATTCTACACGCGGATGGAAAAATTAGAGGGAAATTGATGTATATAATGTAGATGTCTCAGGAGTATATAGTTCCATTTCCCTCTCTTTGCTGGAGTCCTGGGCAGATTTGCTTTATGACCTAAATAGCAGTGGTGTAAGAGAGGCAATAGGCAACTGTTATGGATTGTTGAGTCCTGGGAGAAGGGACTTCTAATTATGGGGACCTTCTCTATTCCCTTCCATCAATCTACTAATATATTTGAGAGTGTGTGTCTGTGTGTCTGTCTGTTCAAGAACTCCTAAATGGTAAAAACTAGTCCCACCAAATTTGGTATGCAGCTTCCTGTTATCATAACTTAAAACAAATTCAGGGTTTGGTTGTGCCAGGAAATTGGAATGGGCCTGGAATGAGAGAGAATCACTGTGTAGGAGAAATGAGCTAGCTCACCCTCCTCTTCTCTCTGCACAGGTTGGGCTATAGACTCCCTTTGAAAGATGGCTTTTTCTAGGGCAGAAGTTCATTGCAGTTGCTCTCTGACCTAGCCAGTATTTGTTTGCAGGAAACACTTGTGTACAGTAAACCCTCATGGAGCTCTTGGGTGTATTGCTTTCTGCGTACTGACTGTTAACCAACTGGGTCCGTTTGGGAGAAACACCAAATCGTATTTTCAGGCATTTGACCAGCTGAACTGGCGTTGCTAGCTCAAATTCCATATTGTAATTGTGTCTTACATAATTTTCTATGTTGGCAACTTAGAAAGCTCTTGTGTCTTAACATAATGAAGCGGAAACCTAAATAGCGAAATAGTCTGTTCAAGAACTCCGAAATGGTAAAAACATCAGAGCTGAGCCCCTGTAGGGTTCTTAGGCCACGTCTTCACTACTGGGAAGATTGATGCTGTGGAGATTGATCTTCCGGAGTTCAATTTAGTGGGTCTAGTAAAGACTCACTAAAGCAAACGCTGAGGGAGCTCCCATTGACATCAATATTCCTTGAAAAGTCAATGGGAGCATTTGCGCCTTTCGACCTCCTGCTGTGGAGATGCTGTCGCCAGTCGAATCCAGCTATACAATTAACATAGCTAGAATTGCGTATTTCAGCTCAACCTTTAGGTAAATATAGACAAGTCCTCAGAGATATAAATCACAGGCTTTGTTGTGAAGGAAAGTTCTAGTTAAGGCTACTTTCAGGCCTCCATTAGAAATAACTCCCCTCTTTTCACTGGCTCATGACCAGTAAAGTTCTAGATCTTTCTCTCCCTTACTCTGTGACTGTAAGCTTGTGTTGGCATAGCCCCCTGGCGGAGGTACAGCTACACCCACGGCAGGAGTGTATTGCCAGGACAGGAATATCACCTCCCTGAAAATTAGTTCAAGTGGCAGAAGCCCTCATTGGTTGACACAAAGGCATTTATGTGAGGTGGGAGGTTGTTGGCATAGCTATGTTGCTAGGTGGGTGATTTTCCCTCCTCCCCACAACCTGACCAAAGTAGCTATGCTGATGTCTTACATACAGGGCAGACCTCAATCCACATAAAAATTACCCCCCCCCCCTTCTGGGAGTTTGGAGCTGCCCCTCGCCAGTGCCCTGCACATCTCTGATACAATCTCACTGCTTTCCTTCATTCTCGGGAGCAGAAATGTTTGGCTGCTTTTTTGGACCCTGCTCTGTTTCCCCACACAGCAGCTCAGATCTGCTACTAGAGGAGCTGTTTATCCAAATGCCTGGTGCACCCCTAGCAAGACTTCTCTCTAAATTACTGTGTCTCCAATTTCTTTGACCTTGAAGCTTCTCAAGGAAAAGAAGTGCCACAGTTCTTGTGCGCATGAGCTCAACGGCTTTCCAAGCAGGAAATGCTCATTTGAATGAACATCTTGTACTTTATAAACTATCGCTAGTTGCAGAATTGGACTGAGAAGCCATTTCCTCAGGAGCTTGAGCTAGAGTTGAATAAAAAAAATATTAAAATAAGTGCTGCTTTCCCTCTCACCTGTGTACTTTGGTGCATGGTGTAACGCTGCACTGAGAAAGAAGTGATATCCTCTCGGGACAGCTTTGGGTTTTAGCTAACTACTATTGCGGGGCTTGTCTGTGTTTCAGGACAATTGCAGGTTAACTAGCGCAAAAATGAATCCTGACTTCGCATTTGGCGTGTATAAGGATTGTCCTGTCTAATGCAACAGCTGGCTGGCCTGCGGACACAGAGGTGTTTACGATCACCTCCACAAGATGAGGGAGCGGTGAAATGGCTTAGGACAGTGGTTTTCAGATTACAAGTTGCAACCCAGGACTGGGTGGTGGAATGTGAGGCACTGGGTCTCCTTGCTGCAGGGGGATCAGGTGACCAGAGGGAAGGCTAAGGCAGGCTACCTGCCTGTCCTAGGGCAGAGCGCAGTCTGCGGTGCCAGAAGTGGCCGGGAGCAGGCCTGGCTCCTAGGGGGAAAGGGCTCTGCACACTGCCCCACCTCAAGCTCCACCTTCGCACTCCCGTTAGCTTGGAAGCTGCTGCTGGCTGATCCTGGGGTGCAGTATGTTCTGTAGTGCCAGGAGAGGCAGAAAGCTGCCTTAGCACCCCTGCTGACCAAGAGGCACTCAAGGTAAGCCCCTCCTGCCCCAGTC